ATGTGGTGGCAAAGAGAACTAACACAAACATGTCAGGGGTCACACTGCCTGCTCTGCTGGGCATCACAAAGCCCTCTGTCTTGGACTCCGCAATCTCAGATCTTCTACAGTAAGGCCAAATGAGATCCCAGGCCTGACACTGTGAAGGGGCACTCTCACTCTCTCCCCGCTTCCCTGACCCCCCCTACACCTGTCTCAGCTCCAATCACACCAACAACCTTCACAAAGAACAATCTCTGGTACCCCATTGGCCTCAGGGGCCCATGGGTCCCCTAGTTTATCCTTCAGAGAACAGACATGGGGTAGAAGTCCACATAGACCCTGGAAACGGGTTAAGAGCACCTGGACAGAGAATTTCAGGATCCTGGACATCAGCACAGAGCGCAAGTTCTGGGGAGACACATCCTTGTGGTCTTGCTGACTATCCATCCCAGGGTCCTCTAAAGGCTCTCTTGGCCAGGTTTGTCCCATGCTGGGGAGAGGGAAGGTGCAGCAGCACCTCATCAGCGGGAGGTACATAAAGATCAGGTCGACAGTCAAGGGGCTGAATTCCAGTCCCTTCCACTTCCCACTACTGTTATGACTTTAACCTCACTGGGCCTTACAGGGACTAGCAGGGAGACAAGTTCTCTAAGACGCATTTTAAGACCAAGTTCCGGAGAGTCTAAAAAGTCAAGGCAGGAGGAGAGGGCCTGGAGCCCACAGCCTTTTAGAGGCAGAACAAAACAAGAGATGAACGTGGCACAAACTGAGCCACAAACACTTTCTCGTGATGGGCTGGGTGGGTTGTGCCTCACTTACGCCAAGTGGCCAGCGGGCTAAAGAACAGGATGTCTCAGGAGTGAGTCGAGGGTGGGGCCTTCCTGAGAGCTCCTGTCCTGAGAGGCCAGTGGTAAGCTCAGAGAAGCAGAGGAGTCTCCAGCAGCAGCCCCGACTGGCACCGCTAAGTGCGAATGTACTTGGCTGATTGAGCTGAGGAGGAAGGGTCCCCTGGGACACCATCTCACTCTGCTCTTTGCCTCCTTGATGGCATGCAATTAGCGGATCATCTCAGGAAAGACGGCACGAAGGTGCGTTCACACCGTGTGCCAGCTCTGGAGAGAGAGAGAGGAAACAGGGACACACAGACACACATACACCCCACGCCTGGCTGGCCTCCATCCAGTGTCTCGAGCTCAGAAAAAAGGAGTCCTTTCCCCTAGAAACCAACATGCCAGGAGTCTATTGCTGAATTGAGGGCAAACAGAGTCCAGACTGGCTCACCTCAGTACTCTTCATCTGGATATCTTAGCTATGAGAGGCGTTATTTTCCTCTAGTGCTGAAACAGTCACTCACCGTGCCCTGGCACGTGAAATGATGCCACTCTGTGTCTCCCACCCACTTCTTGCAATCGTGTTGCCATCAACGTTTGTCATGCTCCTACTTCTGTCCAACTGCCTCCAAAGGACAGCGACAGGAGAAGTGTCAGCAGCATCACAAACACAGCTGTGTGTTCATTCCGCCCAGGTCTGTGCTCAGTTCAAACAGCATGTGATGTGACGAGGAGTCCAGAAGCTTTCCCTGCCACCTGCTTCCCGGCAGCTGGTGTTGGGGCACACGGTCATCGGTGTTTATACCATAGTCGTTTTGGTCACCGTGGTCTTCCGAGCAAGGGGAGGCCCTTGCGAGAAATAGGAGGAGGGCAGAAGAGACCCACCAGAGACCATGCTTCAGCAAGAACAGCTCTTTTATGTATTTGACTTTTAAGCCAAAATACACCAACTATGGGTCCTGGATATGATGACCGGAGGAACTCCTGGGTAAAATTATCTGCAGGAATATTATACGGAACCAAGTTCCAGCCATCACCACCATACAGGTTGTCCACCGGAAGTTAAGTCTGAACCAGGAGAAGTGGAAGAGAGCAGACAGAGACTGGGGAGGGAACCACAAGGAGGCTCTTGGCAGTCAAGAGGCTAGCTAAGTGGGGGCAACCAGAGAGGCTCCCTGCTTGTGAAGCGAAAGAACACAGGCAGAAACAGAAAAACGCTGTAAAGGTAAAAGACACAGCAAAACAAGCAGACCCGTTCTCTGCTTTGGCCAGTGCCGATACACCAGTCCTGACTGCATTCACTGGCAGCCACTGGCAGGGAAGGGCCAAACACCAATGTCCTGAGGCAGAGTTATGAAACAGTTTCAGATGAGGATTCAGTGGAAACACATCCATGGAGAATGACTCCAGCATTTGTTGCTCAATGAAAAAATTTTAACAATGAAATATGAATTATCCTATGAAATCATGATAGATCCAAATCGGAGAATGTTGAGGTTTAAGTATGTATTCTATATAAGCATTATTAGATTTGTGTGTATCTGGGGTGGGCAGAGGTGTCACCCTCAGGAGGTGTCCACCTTGCTGCACACCAATTAGGCTAAGCTGACTGGCCAGTGAGCCCCAGAGAGCACTCTAGCCTGGAGAATTTAGATAGCTAGTACTCCTTTAAAAGACGGGTGTGGTAGCATGCTCCAGTTACCCCGGCACTGGGGTTTGGGGAGTTACAGGGAGTGGGGACAGGCAGATCCTGGGGTCTCTCTGGATAGCCAGGCTATAGAAATGGCAAGCTCCAGGTTCAGTAAGAGACCCTGTCTCAAAAAACAAGGTGGAGAGTAATAGACAAAGATACGGATTTCAGTAGCTGGCCTCCACTCCCTCCCCAGCCACGCGCATATGCATGCATGGATCCCCCACAACATTATTAAATAAAAATACCCTGCCAATAACTGAAGAAGAAACGACTGGAGTCTATAAAGCTGTTTCTAAATGCCTTACACATTTACCTATCTAGGTAATTACCAGAAACTGCTGATAACCAGGAAATGAGTGTTTACGTACCTCCCGAGGAGGATGAGAGGAACCTAGGAGGGATTCATACTTAAATTCAAAGCAAAGCAGTCCACAGCGAACACAGGACTGTCTAGAGGGTACCACAGGCATGCAAGACTTGGGGAGGCCATGGGATGACTGGCTGGGCTCTGTATTAAGCAAATACGGACATGGAAGAGAATCTGCAGTTAAAGATGAGAAACACGCAATTGGTGTAGGTATCCTACACCAATTTGAACCTTAGGATGTGTGGATACCTGATTTAAGCCAACAAACAACAAACAAAAAAATGTTCAAGCCTGGATGTGGGGGTGCACACTTGTAATCCCGGCGCTTAGGGGGTGAAAAGCATAGAGAAATGTTTAAATGTTCATGGTAATCAAGGAATAAACAAACAAAGCAAAGTGTAGCCAGATGGAGAGGGCCGGAGACCCCTTGCCAGGCCAGGTGGCTTGTGGGCCCTTCTCCTCAACAGGCTCCTTCTTGGTCCTCACACAGCCCTGCTGAGGCTTTGCTGCACCCGTGTGGCCAATGGGAGGCCTAACAGCTGAGTCCCGACGCCCCAGGAAACAAACAACAAGAATAACGTTGATGGATTTCCTCCTGGCCCTTCCCCAGCTCAGAGCCAAATCTGTTCATACTCGGAACGTAGCAGCAAGGACGGGGCAGGAGACGGGATGTTAAAGTAACTCTGGATCCAGAGGACCAGAAAAGCCTGGACGTCACCTCTGCTGGAAAGAAGGAGGCCAGAGGGAGATGGGGACTCAGAAGATGGGGCCAGAGGCGAGCAGCAGTGGAAACAGAGTCCTACAGTGAGGAGAAGTTCCACCGGGTTGAGGGTAACCTCACTGGGAGGCAGGGGAGGGGATGATCCTGCCTCAGGCAGTCTGAGGGCAAAGGGGTCAGGTAGAGGGCACCTGACCCCCTCTGTGAGTGCCCTTCCAGATAACCAAGGGGGAGCCAGTGGACTCCCACTGAGAAGAGTTCATCTTCGCAGCCTACTACTGTTATAGCAAAAAACCGAGAGATACAGGGCATGGCCTTCAAACTCAAAGTGGCCGTGGAAAGCACAAAGTCACTGCTGGAGATTTAGCCAGACCCCTTAGCCCTTGAAGTCTTATTATTAGGCATCAATGCTGAGCCCCATATTGACTAATCCATATTTCCTTAGCTCTCAATGAATTTTTCTCTGCTTTATTGATTGGACCTATAATGTCACTTAGGGTAACAGGACTCTGTGACCAACGCATGACATTTTCAGAGCACGAGTAAACACCCTGCATGTCCAGGAACACACACTGACTCAAACATGATTCAGTCTTACCCCATCCTAAACCCTTGTGTGTGAGCCAGAGTTAAACCCAACAGGATCCTTCTATATTGAAATTCACAGAATTGCTGAGTGATGCTGGGCAAATCACCAACCTTTCTGCGTCCCAGACCTCGTCTGTATAATGGGGATAACCTCATCCCACCTCACCAGGATGAGTGAGTCACTATCTACAATGTGTCCAAAACAGTAACTGACATAAAAAAAAAAAAAGTCAAAAGAAATAAGCAACTCAGAGCCACAGCTAGTTTTTCAAAATGGGACTGAAATATAAGTCATTAATTTTTTGAAAACAGGCTTACAAAACCATGAGTCTCTTTTTAAACTGATAGACATGATTATTGCTGTAATTAACTGACACTAAATCTCTGTGTCTCCTTGTCCACCTCTAAAACTGAGTGTCATTTTCAGGAGAATCAGACTTAGGGACTCCATTCTGCTCCAAGCCCCCTTTTAAGATTTCTTTATTAATTTTTTTTTGTGTGTGTGGCACTCGGGACTGAACTGAGGGCTTTATGCATGGTAGGCAAGCATTCTGACTGAGGCACACTCTCAGCCCACTCCCTTTTAACTTCCTTATAATAGTCCTCGTTATGATCATCCTCCCACCAATCACTCAGAAGTGAAGACCATGTATGTGTTATGTGTGCACGTGCATTTGTGTGTACGCCTGTGTGTATGTGGGGAGTCCATGAAGCAGAACCAGTAAGTGGAGCCCAGCTACTTAAGCATTCCATTTTCAGTGGAATGCCTCCCGCTCTGGTCTTGCATGATGACCCCTCCCACTGTCTTCTGGCCACACCCACCTATTGGTGTTCTCCAGCACCTCCACCTTCTTCCGAAGTTCCAAGTTCTCAGTTGAACAAGACTCCACTCTGAGGAGAGAGAGCAAAGACACTCTGTCACTCTCCAGGGAGCAACTGCTCAGCCGGGGCTAGGGTTGAGGTGAGTGGCACCACAGAGAAAGAGGTAGCGGTGGCCCATGAGGAAGAGCTGAGAGCGCCTGAGTGGAGAAGAGAATGAGCGTCCAGAGGGACAACCTGGCGGGCCAGCTCTCCTCAGGAAGGAGCGTGTGCGGGACACACATGAGCCCCGTCAGGCATCTCAGTCTGGTTCCTCACCTCTTCCTGTTGCTCTCATCCATCACTCACTACAGGATGGAAAGCCACCAGCGAGCGGCACTCCTGGCCAGGTCTGACAGAAAGCTTAGAGCTGTGTGAAAGGCAGGCGGGACCAGAACCCAGGGCAGTGATGTGCTGGAGCCCACGTGCCCGGAGAGGCAGAGAAGAGAGATCCATGGAAATAAATCTTGGGTATGGATGCCTTTAGAACACAAACAGAATGGACGTCCTTAATGCTACTTCACCAAGACCTAAATCAGGTCGTAGACACACTACTTCCCATAGAAACTTCTGGTTAGAAGCCAGCCAGTGTCTTATCTCACATGCACAAATGAGAAAGATTCAGTTATGGGTCTTCAAGAGTCTCCTTCCTATCTCAAAATCACCCCAAATGGTCAGCTGGAGAACTACTTTCTAGGGTCGGTAGAGATGGTACTCAATTCACACTTCTCTTGGAGCCCTCGGGGCATTCCAGGGCTTTCTCAAAAGAACAAAGGGAGCCTTCATGTATTTTTGCAAAAAAAAAAAAATTTGTCTGCCCACAGCATGTACTACAGAGTACAGGAAATACCAGAGTCTGATTTGTGTCATTCGAGGCCAATAGGACCTGGGTAAGCAACACTACTCCTGTGGGCTGAAGCCAGGCATCTCAGAGGAGCTTCAGGAATGTCACTATCTAAGGCTTGCTCAAGGAACCTAGAAGCAAGCACTCACGATCATGGCCAGAAAGCAATGATTCACACACCATGGTTATAAGCAGTTCCCCCACATGACCACCAGGGGGCAGGAAAACACTGCTAATGCACTGGGGGATCAAAGACGCCAAAATGAGCCCCTCACCCTGCTTGGTGACTATTTCCTAAAAACACAAGCGGTCAGTGAGCAGGCTTACTTTTTCTCCAGGCTGTCCATGTATTCTTTCTTCTTTCTCCTGCTTTCTTGGGCAGAAATCTGTGAAATAAGGAGGAGAGGGGGATGAATTTCCATTTTTGAAAGTAAAACAGGGTGGATGGAACACAGGAGGCCACCTGCACAACTTAGGTGGCCAGCTCCCCTTTGTCTAAACTGTGGACTCTCATCTATGTATTACCAACTCTGTTTCTGGCCCAAGCAGATCCTCCCAACCTGCCAACAAACTCCTGGGTCACAGACTGATTGTTGAAATAGCTCAAAAAAATGATGTCAGCTCTCTGGACCTCAGCTGACTCAATTATATATAAAATCAGCCAGCTGGGCTTGGATGTGTATAAACCGTCTGCTGGCTCTGCATGAGGGAGGGTACAGAGGTGTAACTCTGGTTCTCTCTCTGCCTTCCTTTCCTGCTCTTTGCCTGGGTCACAGGCCTGGGCCTCACCAGCCCCCTTCAGGCCTAGAGGCAACAGATAAGCCCAGACAGAGACCAGGTGGCTACTGAGGTTTGTTTTTAATCACAGACCACTACCAAGAAAAACAAACCTTTAAGTAACCCAGCATAAAACGACAGTTGTTTATAAATTACATATAGGGCAACTTGAAGAAAATATTACATACATCGTAAAAATCGGAAGGCTGAGATATTTAAAAAGCCACGTAAAGGGAGATTCTTGTATGTCCTGCTTCTGAACAGGCTATCATGCACCAAGGAGTCTATGTACCAGTGTGAGAGTTCACACCCCGTGGGCGGAAAGACCTGGAAAGGATGGGCAGACGGTGTCTATGCTCCTGACCTGGCTACCTGAAGTCCCACTATGGACTTTGCGGGGTGGGAGGGGCGCTGCTCAGTTCTTCCTGTTCTATCACAGAAATGCCTAGAGTGGAACAGCTCACCTTATTCTTGATTTTTCTCCGGATTTTCTTCAGGGCCTTCTCCTCAGATTTTGTCAGGGGCAGTTTGGTAGGAATCGGATAGCCCTCAGCAATCAAGGTCCTCTTCTCCTCCTCCGTCAGGACCAGTGGGCCAGACCCCTGCAGCTTCTACACAGACAGGGAGCAGAGACAGGTCAGAGAGGGGTGGTTGAAAATGACCTGAACACTGGGTGTGGAGAACCTGTCACAATGGGTCACTAACAGTGGGTGCTTCGAAGAAAAAGACAAGAGAGAGAAGATGTGCCTGTGTGGGTGACTTATTTATTTACATATGTGTGTGTGTGGTATGTGCAGTATGTGTTTTGTGTGTGTGTGTGTGTGTGTGTGTGTGTGTGTGTGTGTGTGTGTGTGTGGCGCATGCATGTAGAGTATGTGTGTATGTGTGCCCATGCATGTGCATGTGGAGGCCAGAACAGGACATCGGGCATCTTCTCAACTGCAGTGAGACAGAGTCTCTCACTGAACCAGAAGTTTGATGTCCCCACCTAGGTTGGCTGGCCAGTGAGTTCTCGGGATCTACCTGTCCCAGCCCCAGGGCTGGTGTTACACATGGTGGTGGCACATGGCTGGCAGTCATGCCTGGCTTTTTTATGTGGGTGCTCGTGATTCAAATTCAAGTCCTCAAACTTGCAGAGCAAGGGCCCCAACCTCCCCAGCCTCCCAAGTGGGGGTTTTAAACCCAAGAGTTCTAAATCAAAGGGAAGGCTGAAGAGGCCTGCATCCACCTTTCCCAGGAAACACCCCACTATGTAGCACACACACACAAAGTAACGGTGTAGAATTCGCACCCCACATCCCCGGAGGCTTAGGGGTAATGGGAAATCCCCTTGGAGTTCAGCTTCATTCAAGACTTGTATTGTTCGCCTACTGAAGGGCTGATTTTTTTTTTTAATTTTTTATTTTTATTTTGCAATACAATTCAGTTCTACATATCAGCCACGGATTCCCTTGTTCTCCCCCCTCCGGCCCCCCTCACCTTCCCCCGGGCCCACCCCCCATTCCCACCTCCTCCAGGGCAAAGCCTCCCCCACGCACGGACTGAGATCAACCTGGTAGACTCAGTCCAGGCAGGTCCAGTCCCCTCCTCCCAGGCCGAGCCAAGCGACCCTGCATAGACCCCAGGTTTCAAACAGCCAACTCATGCAATGAGCACAGGACCCGGTCCCACTGCCTGGATGCCTCCCAGACAGATCAAGCCAATCAACTGTCTCACCCATTCAGAGGGCCTGATCCAGTTGGTGACCCCTCAGCCACTGGTTCATAGTTCATGTGTTTCCATTCGTTTGGCTATTTGTCCCTGTGCTTTATCCAACCTTGGTCTCAACAATTCTCGCTCATATAAACCCTCCTCATTCTCGCTAATTGGACTCCCAGAGATCCACCCAGGGCCTAGTCATGGATCTCTGCATCCAGATCCCTCAGTAGTTGGATGAGGTTTCTAGCACGACAATTAGGGTGTTTGGCCATCCCATCACCAGAGTAGGTCAGTTCAGGCTGTCTCTCGACCATTGCCAGCAGTCTGTTGTGGGGATATCTTTGTGGATTTCTGTGGGCCTCTCTAGCACTTTGCTTCTTCCTATTCTCATGTGGTCTTCATTTACCATGGTCTCCTATTCCTTGTTCTCCCTCTCTGCTGTTGATCCAGCTGGGATCTCCCGCTCCCCCAAGCTCTCTTTCCCTCGACCCTCGCCTGAAGGGCTGATTTTATAACTAGCTCTTTCCATACCACACTTGCTCTTCTCCTCCACTGACAGCTAAGGGGCCTGAAGTCCCAGAGACACCCCAGGAGGCATTTTCCCGGGAAGTTCTGGTTTCCGGAGTCCTACGCTGCCCATCCGCAACGAGCATGAGGACCACAGCTCATCGCATTTAGCCCAGGACACAATGATGTGTATATATTAGTCACACAAGCTGACGCACTGGTGCCTGATCTCCATGCTCCCTGCCACAGTGGACATCTCCGAAGTGGTTTAGGATCAAGACTCAGAGCTGAGGTGACACCCGTAAAATCTCGAGAGCCGTTCAGTGCTCGGCTGCGATGTTCACTAAGGGAGTATTCAGCTTTTGGAGAAAAAGAATCCTTGTGAGTTTACGGGATGAGAGAAGGCTTAGAATAGATGAGACTCGAATGCTGCTTTCTGGAGAAGTGATGCCTTCTAAGGACCGGGGTGGTGTTCTGAGCAAATGGCAGTGCTATATACTCAGAAAAGTAACGGGAGATGCCTCTGCCCAGAGCAGGTGGGCTCATGAGGCTGAGACAGCAAAGGATGAGCTGTTTAATACAAGCAGAGATGTTAGGGCCCCACAGGGCATTTAGATAGCAGGAAACACTGGCTGGCTGCTAGCAAGAGCAGGCGGGTGGGGACTTCCCTCAAAAGTGTGCAAAACGGGTAAATCTTGGAGGGATGCAGACACAGAGGATGAAAGGAATTCCAACCATCTAAAGCCAGGTTCAAGTAGACAAGGCAAAGAAGCGGACGTGAATTCCTTCCTTCTCGGTCACGGTGACATGTTGTTAACATCTACAACTTACGGGGACAAATGAATCTCGAACTTTCACCATTATCCTGACAGTTGGTTCCCACACCTTCTTAAAATATTTCACTTATATTTGTTAGTCATAAACATTGCAGGCATGTATGAAATTCTCAAAGAATAGAATATTATCTTTAAAAGGTGTTATTCATGATAGTGTAATTTTTAAGACCTCATAGAAATCAGAGTCCCTCTTTAGAACAACAAAATGAGAGTTCTCTACCCCTCCTTTTACATGTGTGTGGGATGAATGACGACCTGTGATTTTGTCCCAGGACCCTGGGTTAAGAGCCCCCAACACACACAAAGATTAAACTATGTTTTTGAGCTTTTGACATCAAAGAACTTCATCTCAGAGAGACTTTCTTTTCAAATTTCACCCAAGAACGCTTATCTAAAAGATGAAAGGCATTCCCTAGCGCACACTAAGTAAGCATCCTCTCCACTAATGGCAAGTGTTCATGGTGGAACTTGGAGGGGGAAAAAGTACAGAAATAGTATGCCTTAGGCTTCTGGGCCTGGAAAACAAACAAACAAGTAAGGACTAGAGATGTGTGTATGAAAAAAGAATTACTGAGATTTGTAGGCAAGTCTTTACAAACATGTTCTTTGGGGTTCCTAAGTTCCCTGGTGACTCGGTCCCCAGTGGGGTGCCACTGAGAAGTATGGATGTGAAGAACATGCTGATGTCTTTTTTGCAGGAGTGATTTGGGTGTCACAGGACTGGATTTGGTTACCATGGAGGTGTGCTGCTACAGAGGCTCCCTGTTTCCTCTGTCTATCTTTCTGCTATGCACGGAGCACCCTCTCCAGAAGCTAAGTAGATATAGGCACCATGCTTTTGAAATTCACCACCTCCAGGACTGTGCACCAAAAACAATCTTTCCTAACTTCCTCAGTCTTGGTTATTTTGTTACAGCAACATAGCATGGACAAAGACTTCTAACCATTAAACAAAAATGTCATTACAAGAATGAAAAAATCATTCTGAGAGGATTCCTGGCCACTCAAGATACTTACGTGTGGAGCTGTGAGGAGAGGAGATGTGGACAAGGCAGAGGGGCCCCGGGGCATGGCTCTGGCAGGGCTGTGGGCCTGAGACAGGCTGAAGGGATGCAGGCGTGGATTAGGGCTCAGGCTGCCCTCTGAGTCACTGCTGTGGCTACTGGGTGGTGTTGGTGGTAAGTGCAGCTGATCCACGGAGGCTGAGGACGAAGAAAGCGCATTTCATCCATCACAGAAGAGGAACACGAGACTCGGGGGCCAGTTACACACACGTGTGTCTCCACACTAGGAGCTTGGGGTAGGTGCACAGGGTGGTGACTCTCTCTAGGCTGACCTGGAAAGTTCTTTAAGATGTGATGCAGCAAGAAGGTAGGGGGTGGGAGGAAGTGGGGGGTGGGAGGGGGGAGGCACAGAATAGTGTATCCTGTTGTCCTCTCTTTGTAGGAAAAGGAAGAGAAAGTGAATGTAGAGTCACACTTCCCGGTCCTAGCACAAAACTACCCTGGGCAAGCATGCATGAGACACTAACAAAGGGGTGACCCCGGGGGTAGCCTGGGAGAGGGGGGTGCCCCTGACAGGGTGTTGACAAGACTTTTCACAATGTTCCTTTGTCATTTTATTTTTGCAATAAATACTCCTGTACCCCAGTCTGGCCTTGAATTCTGGATAGCTGAAGAGGACCTTGAACTTCTGATCCTCTTGCCCCCCACCTCTGGAGTGCTGAGATAGAAAGTGTGCTTCACCATGCCTGGTTTTATGTGGTACTAGGGGGTGGAATTAAAGGCTTCTTGCATGCTCTGCAAGCATTCTATCAACTGAGCTACATGCCCAGCCCCTCTGTATTCTTTTTAGATCGTTTACACAGGTTGATGTGCAAGTCCTGTTAGCAGTATGCAGTTTTTTAAAACAATCGTTTAGGAAACTGCCAACCTGAGAGAGCTCGCTCGTGGACTCTTGGAGAAAAGCCCCTTTGTTTCTGGAGGAATGTGCCTGGTGGGGCCTGCAGGCAGGAGGCCAGGCATTCTTCATTCAGAAACCCTATATCTACCATTAGATAAGTAGTCACAGGAAAAAAGAAACAGGGTGCAAGGTACCCTCTCCCCTACAGCCTTTCTTCAGGGCACATTACCAGGGATGAGAGCACCCCATAGGTGTGGGGCCAGCACCCCCAGGGCAGTTGGAATGAGCTTCTGAATGGAGAGCATCACCTGCGGTCCACCCCCAGCTCCCTCCCTCTTTTTTTCTGAACAAGATTTTTCTGTTCTGCCAGCCACAGTTGCTGAGGGAGATTACATTTGAGGGCTCCTCACCCCAAGCCCCTCCTGGGGGCCTGGCTCCATGCAGCATCTCTGTATCTGTGGAGCACTTGCATGCCTGACACACCTGAGTAGCTCAGGGAAGGGCTGAGTATGTATGCCCTTTCAACACATCACGTGCCTGGCTAGAAAGTAGGCATGGCATAAGTATTAGCCAGGGTTGCCAAGGTTTCACCTATGCCAGGAATATGTGACAGTGTATGTTTAAAAAGAGTAAAAAGCAGGGATCACATTAATCTACCAGCAACTCCAGCTGAATTCCCAAGGACACCAAGAGTTCTTCTGCCCCCTGGCCCTGCACGGGCTAAGCTCCGCGCGTTTCTGCTTTCTGAGCAGTGAGTAGTCCACAAAAGAGAGAAGCAGGCTGACAGGAAAAGCCTGCCCATCTGGACACAGGTGCCTCAGGATCAGATTTCTAAACATCATTTGAAATGCTGCTCCCAGGCTGCAGAGGGAGCTGGGGACAGCATGCTATTCTGCCTAGAAACTTTGATGTACGCCAGGATATTCAATTTCTTTATCTCTTTATCCAGGGTAATGAGGGAGGATTGCCATTTCTCCTCCACGGACCCCAGATCCTGACGCCACCACAGGGATCTATTGTTCGGGTTGTGACACTTTCTGAGCCATATCACAACATAGTGAAAAGAACAAGACACGTTTGGTGGTGGTGAGCAGCCAAAAGGATGAAAGAAATTGCTTGAAAGCAGACTCCAGGGTTCAAAGGCATGAATGTGTGCCGCTCAATGCCAAGAAACAAAGGCTCAATACAGATGCAGATGGAGAGTATTAACTTTTTACTTCTTTACAGGTAGTAAAGGCAGTGATGGTCAACCCTGATTCAGTGGTCTCAAATCCAGTCCTGAGTGGAGTCCTAACGGTAAGGAAGGCAAATTGTATACAATGCTTATAGACAATGTGGGCTCGTATACAATGTGTGCTCCTTTGCACTCTGTAGCACACAGACCTTCTCTGTAATTGTGGATACTGACTCCTTTGTTGACCATGCAACAAACTGTACATCTAAACATATGTTGAACATGTAAATAAAAGGAAGGATGCAGCACCAACAGACACACAGTTTTAGGAAGAGTGGGCTCCATGCTGTGCATAAATGAGGTACTGACAGCTTCCTGTGCCCGCCTGAGGCTGAGGGTCTGCATCCAGGATCCCAACTCAGCCTCATATGAGACGCAGAGTCAGAAAAAAAAATGTAGAGAACTAACAAAAAAAAAACAATTCCAAGGCATGATTGGGTTCAAAATGAATGACAAGAGGCCCAAAGAGGTACACCATTGGGACCATGGACATTACCAAGCAGGAAAGGGGTGCACCACAACTGTTACCCAAACAGGACAGCTAAAGCCCCACCCTGATTGTGCAGACACATTACGACTTCATTTACAGAGGGTTAAAACTCAAGCTTTAGTTGAGCCACTGAGAACTGCTGTGTATCCGTGGGGTGCTAGTGGGTTCCGACAGGGGGTCTCATCAACCGCACGCAAGTCACAGCAGTTGATAATGGGTCTAAAAACCCATCCTTGGTAAGCGTCATACCACACCAATGCTTAGCTGAAAATAAAGGACGTAAAGAGAAATAACCTTATTACAGAAATGTTTCGCTTTCAAAATATTTCTTTGGAATCAAGATTCTTAAGAAGAGGACTACTCCGTACAGCCAGCTACCTCTGTAACCCTGTACTGCACAGTGCTCCCTTCCCTTTAGAATGGGCACCTAGGGTGGGGAAGGAAGGGGTGAGGGAGAAGGAAGGGGTGAGGAGCATACCTTCTTTAGGAGAGAAGTTTAAGAACTGATCCACTTCATGAGGCTCCAATTTAATCTTAGGAATAATTGTCTGGCACGAGGATTCCACCTGGAAAAGGAATTTCAAACGTGAGTTTTCAACATAGTTACAGACTTTCCAGAACAGGGGCTGTTTGTCAGCTGTGTCTTACTCCGGGGCCAGCACAGAAAGGCATGGGCCTCATCTTACCTTCTCACAGCCAGACCTGGGACCTGACAACTCTAGTGAAAATCCAAGGCTCCTTATATTACTATCATCATTGTTGTTGTTATTATTACTAGTGGTGATGGCAATGGTGTTATGACAAAGACATTTATGGTAAAATACTCAGGTAAAACTTCAGAGTCACAGGCTTCTAGTTTGTCCTACCCCTCCGGACTCCTTGATGACTGATGACAATATCTAACTATAAAATACCCACCAGGGACAGGAGAGAGGGAGCCAGAGGACAGGATCCTGAACCGTTAGTTACATACGTACTTCAAAACCAACCAAGGCCGGAAGAGGTGACTGAGCAGCTAAGAGTGCTTGCTGCTCTTACAGACCTGGGTTCAGTTCCCAGCACCCACACAGTGGCTCACAACCACCTGTAACTCCAGTTCCAGGGGATGCAATGCCCTCTTCTGACCTCAGTGATTTCATGTATACATGTGGTACATACATACACAATACACACACACACACACACACACACACACACATAAATCAACTGGGCAAATTTTCTGGAGCAAAGATCTCAGGATGCAGATCTCAGGAGCCCACCCAGGGTCAACTGCAACTCAGATCTCCTCAACAAGGAGGCTGTGATAGGTTCGTAGCTCTCCCAATATGTTACCTTTTCAGGACCAGACATTACATCTTGTGGATAGGAGATGTGACTACCTGGAGATTTCTGGAGACACTATAATGGGGGTTCTGAACTTAGAACTGGAAAATATACAAGTGTGATTCTGGTCCATCATCAGACACTGGAAAACACCCAGGGAGATGTGGAGTACAATTAAATTCTACTTCCCGGAGCCAGGGGCTTCAGCAAGGAGGGAACTCCTGCCTTCCTATAATCTCCACTAGTAACATGGCATGCGTGAATCAGCAGGTGGGAGCTTCCTGGGTTGGGAAAGAGCAACTCAGCAGTGTTCTAGCAAAAGAAAAGTCTATGCAGAACTGGCATTCACAGTTATCCTGTCGCTGAACGGCGTGGAGTGTACCATAACCTCAACCGTTCCTCTCCCACTGGGGTGAAAGTCAATGTCATGGACAACTTTTCTCCTTCTACTATATTTTTAATTCCATAATGGCAATTAAGTTAAAAAAAATGGAATCAACTTTGCTACTGATTTTCTATACAACACCTTCGAAAGTTGCCATAATCAATGTCGATAACATATTCTTGATACACTCGTGCATACGAACACCCATGAATGCATGCATACATTCTCCCTCAAACACATGCATCTCCTAGGATAAGCACTTTACTGGAGACCAAAGATCTCTACCTTTTGATAGCTATATTTATAAGGAAGAAAACTGGATATACCCCAGCACTCATATCCAGAGGGGACTCTTCTTTTTCAAAAGGAGTAGAAATGGCTGTGATGGTCAGAGTGACCGAGGGCACGAGTCCTGGGGGTTGCTCCTCTGTGATTGGCTCTGTCTTGATGGTGGCCGAAGGGAAGTCTGCAGACAGGTACCACTTCTCACTCTCCACTTCTTCTGTGGGAAAAGGACAATCCACACATGAGCACATCTGGGCAGCGGGTGTAAACGAGACACGTCACCACTGACGACTCTGCAATCCCAGCTCCAATCGAGGACTACTGAGAGGAGACTAAAGGGAGACAAGTATGTGAGAGGAGAGGTACGTGGATGAGGAGATGGACAGCAAGAAAAAGATCTCCATTTGCGTATGCCCAGACATGATAAACAAGCCTGAAGAAGCATTGGAAGGGTTACACAGAAAAGATGGAAACTGGGTGTGGTGGTTCACATACGAATGTCCCCCAGAGGCTCACATGTTTGAACGCTTAATTTCCAGTTGGTGAAGCTACTTGGGGTTGAGGAGGTGTGGCCTTGCTAAAAGAAGTGTGTGACGGGGGTGGGGGGGTGGGGATGGGGGGGTGTTGAGGTTCCCAAAGCCCATGCACGGCATTCCCAGGGCACTCTCTGTCTTCCTGCCTACAGCTCAAGATGTGAGCTCTCAGTTCTCATCTGCTCTTGCCGCCATCTCTAACACTTGCTGCCATGATTCCTCGCCATGGGGGACTCTAACCCTCTGGAAACACACATCCAAGAAAACCCTTTCTTCTACAGGTCATCTTGGTCACGGTGTGTCACCACAGCCATAGGGAAGGAGCTAGTGGGCTGGACTTCCTGGTCACAGCAGGAGGGGGCTAAGTACACAGAGAATTAGATGGGAGGGAAGATTTTTAACCACGTAACATGTTATACTTTTTGGTTTTCAAACCAAGTGAACATGCTATCTATTTAAGAATAAATAAGTATAGTCAGAAGAAGGTAAAAGAGGCTAATGGTTGGCAAGCAAGGCCTCAGGCAGAGGGCTTCTCCACAGTGATTTGTCTCCTTCCTTCCTTCTTTCCTTCCTTCGTTTTTTCAGTTCCCACTCCCTAGTTTTTGCCCTCTTCCGTTTCCCCACCTACATCTCAAATTTAACCAGACTTCCAGAGACGCTGCACAGACCCCTGGGAAAGTTCTAGGTTTACTTGGCTGAAATGGATAAAATACTCATCTAGGGAGGAGGGCAGGGTCTTGGTGAGCCTGGGTTCTGTCTTGTTACTGAGGCTTTCATGATGAGCACTGGGCCTGGGGAGAGGTAACTACCAAGCAGCAAGATGGAGCCAGTGGGGCTCCTCGGCCGCTGGACACATGTTGCTCTGGAGTTTAAGCGGCACCAAATTGCTTTAGAGCAAATTACTCAGCCTGACCCTGCAGGAATAGAGGGTGGGGTAAGGAAGGAGAGCCAAGACTCTGGAAACATGCAGAGAAAAAGGAAAGGCCAGCAGTTCCCAAAGTCCACAGCCCTCAACAGACACCAGCTTTACTAAGAAGGGGTACACACAAAGCAGACCTGTTCCTCTGCTATTTGAAAAAAAGCCCCGCCTGCTTGGTGACCTATAATGGTTCAGGGGTGCAAAGCAGTTCCCACCATGAACATACACTCAAGAATTTGGCTCCAGTTTTATAAAAAAGGGGGGGTGCATGAAAAATTGTACAGAGAAGCATGGGAATAGCAGCAAAAAGTGAAAGTTCACAAAGATAAACTTGAACTCCATAAGCTGCTTCCTTTGAACACAGCAAAGGCTAGGCTCCTACACACAAGGCGGCATTCTGCTTTCAGAGTGAGTCCTATAATCTGCCGAGTGTCTGGTGCGATGGGGGGATTTCCGTCAAAGGGTGTGGGCGACATCCTGGACCAGAAGGGGCTCCTTGGGAACAAAGGGCCTTTTAATGGCTGCCAGAGGAGGGAGACCACACTGTACTTGACACATAGTTCTGCTGGCCAGATGGGCACCCTGCTCAGCTTATAGAAACAACCAAACCACGAGCCGAAAGAAGACTACTGAGTCTCCAAAAGGAGGCTCAGATCTAGAAGGCTGTCCTCAGGAAGGAAGACACGGGGAAGGCACACTGAGGACAGAATGGGGAAGGGAGGGAGAGGCAGAGAGAAGGTTCAGATCACTTAGGACAGAACGGGGGGTGGGGGGGGCAGAGAGAGGGTGTGGATCACTTTCTTTACTCAGCAGTGAGATGCTGAAGCTGCTGCTTGTAGAAATCACACTGGCAGCCCAAACTGAACACTGTTTGCCACCAGAAGAGGATGGAAGGGATATAGTAAGGAGAAATTTAGCCCTGGGTATAATAAAATGAAGAGGAAGAGGCACTCCTGGGAAAATGGCCCCATGCAATGACCAGCAAATGGTGAGGTAAGGCCACATGTCCGATTGTTGCAATCTAAGTGACTGTGACCCAATTTAATTCACAATATATGCGCCAGGCAAAATTAAATGAAGAAAGCACACTTGAACTTGAAGCCCAAAAGGAAGATGAAATTGATTCTTCTATTGGAATAAAACCGTGGTCAACAGATAAGGGCATGTAGGAAATAGGAAAGGACCATATTTGCTCTTCACGCTCAGCCCCATGGTCCTATCTGAAAACATAATCACTGCTGTCTTGGGAGCAGAGGCCACAGAGCCAGCAATGGTACTTGACTGCAGAAGGAAGCATCCTCTCTTAAAGACTATAGGAGTTGTGACTCCAAGCTCTGCTCCCCCAGCTTAGATGAGGAAAAACAACTGGCATTACCGCCATGCTTCCATTCCAGTACTGCAGTTCAGTCCTCCATGTTGATGATGCTTTGGGTTAAATGAAGCCCACGCTCAAAGGCATCATCTCTACAGACGAGGAAACTGCCATGTGCAAATCTCCTCCACACTGTCATCTGAGGTCAGACCCAGATCGCTGCGTTCCTACCAGTGTTCTTGCCATGAAGGAAACAAGTCAACACATGGATGAAGATTTATGCATAAATATGCTCACTACACTCTGATTTAGAAGGACAGAGTGTGGGAAACAACCAATCCACAAAGAAGGTGAAGATGACGAGGTGAATTACGGTACATCTATACAGTGAAATATTTACACAGACATTGCCATATTTACAAAGTCTTTTCAATAATACAGGGAAGTTCCATAGTACACTAGGGAAAACCTTGGTGTAATAATATACGATTGACGAAGAAAGGAGACTGTGGTAGTTTGAATGAAAATGCCCCCCACAGACTCATAGGGAGTGGCATTATTGGAGGTGTGGCCTCGTAGGAGGAAGTGTGTCTCTGGGGGTGGGCGTTGAGGTTTCAGAACCTCAAGCCAGGCCCAGTGGCTCACTCTTCCTTCCTGCTCCTTTGGGTCGAGATGTAGAACTCTCAGCTACGTCTGCCTGTGTGCCGCCATGCTTCCCACCATGACGACAATGGACTAGACCTCTGAACTGTAAGCTAGCCCCAATTAAATGATTTCCTTTATAAGAGTTGCTGTGGTCACAGTGTCTCTCCAAACAACAGAACACGGACTAAGACACTAAGACAGAGGCAAAGGAAACTTGCCTGAACAGTAAATACAGATCAAGAGAATCAATCATTCAGAACATTGTGGCCTTTTTCTTATTCTTTAACATTTTTATAGTATTTCCAAAAGCCTATATTTGAAACTATTAATATTATTCCCAGTTGTCACACACGGATATGCCTGCCCTGCCTCCTCTGTTGACTTGGGATGGCAATTACCAGACAGAAGCTGGAGTAGCTGGCAGGGCCCACAGCTGACTCCAGTTTGCTATCTACTTTGTATTAGTTACTTCTGTGATAAAACATCCCTGACATAGACAACCTGAGAGAGAAAAGGATTTGGATGGTTACAGTTTGAGGGAAATCCATCAGGGCGGAAAAGACATGGCAGTTAGAATGTGAGGCAGATGGTCACACTGCATCCATTAAGTACAGAGAGGTGAATGGTGGTGCCCAACCAACTTTCTCCATTTCAGGTAGTCTAGGACCCCAACCCAAGGGGATGGTGCCACCTGTACTTAGGGAAGTATTTTTGCCTGAATTAACTTAAAACAATTCCTCACAAGTATGCCCCGTGGCTCCTTTCCTAGGTGAATCTTGGTCTAGTCAAGCTATCCCGAGATGAGCCATCACACCCTCCAATTGTGCCTTTTGCTATATGAGTTTTCAATATCCCCAGCTTTGCCCTGTGACTTAACCTAACCAATGGCACATTAGCTTCTTCATACAGCAGAATCTTGAAATGTGTTAGCTAAGATTGGGCTTATGTTCTTATGGATTTTACTATCACATAAGAAGGATGTGCCAGGATAATTGATCTCTTGATCCTAGAGGAAGGAACACAGCCTCACAGATCAAAGGCATGCCGAGAAGAGCTGAGACGAGTCATCAAACTCTAGCCTTAAGATGAGAGGGACTGCAGCTAGAACTAGCAGTTGCTGAACTGATCCCGTGTCACTCAGCCAATCCCCAGTAGTAGAAATGCACAAAGTCTAGCAATAAACTGATTTTTTACTTCAAGTACTAAAATTTAGAGCATCAAGTTTGATCCCCCAGTACCACATACACACTGGGAATCCCAGTGCTCAAATTCAAAAGGCAGAGGCAGGAAGATCCAAAGTTCAAGATCATCCTTGACTATAGACCAAACTGGAGACCACCCTGGAATAGACTTTGTCCCCACATTCACACAGAAAGTACACGTATGGGGTTTGAGTTGGCTTCTTAGACAGCATAACTAGCTAATACAACATGGCTGAATTATGACATCAGAATCTATTGCAATAAGGTAACTGCAGTGGTTTTTCCAAATAATTCCTCTAAGTCATCAACTGGAGATTGTGTCAATAAATATTTGTAGGGGCTGGCGAGAGGGCTGAGCAGATTGGAGCACTTGCCTCACAAGCCTGGTGACCTGAGTTCAATTCCTAGAACCCATATAAAGGTGGAAGGAGAGAACCAACTCCCAAAAGTTGTCCTCTGACTTGTACATGCATGATTAATAAAAATAAATAAATATTTGTAGATTGGCCAATCGGACCCTCCAGATACTTGTAAAAGAACCGATTTCAGATGAAGGAAGTGCAGTCACTATGAAGCTTTATGAGAGCAGCATTCCAGTGTGGTTGA